TAGCTTCTTGTTACTACTAGTAAGGCCCTTGCTCCTAGTAGCGATGCACTTGTTCCTACTAGCTTCTTGTTACTACTAGTAAGGCCCTTGCTCCTAGTAGCGATGCACTTGTTCCTAGTAGCTTATTGTTTCTATGGAATGCAGTGGAGAAATTCATGACATGTCAAAAGCAAGAGAAAACTAGGGGGTCCATTGTTTTCTCGTTCTTCTGGCCGTTGCTTCTGTTAGATTCTGCGCTGTCTACAAGCTTGATTGATAAAGTCAGTGACCCCCCCACAAGTTTCACAAAAACTAGAAAAAATTCTGAAATCAAGTGGCTCCTGAATGCTTTGAATCGCCATGGAGACACCGCCTTGTAATTTAGTAGACAGGTTTGTAGACACCTGCTCCTATGCTAGGCCCAGTCGTATGTATCGCTCACCGTTAAGAGGTGGCACGCAACGACACCAGGAGCTTCAAGGAGCTGGAGTCCTTTGCCTTTTCTTTCTTCACCTTCACCTTCTTGGCCTTTCAAGCGGCTCAACCATCATATTGATCTTGTGGCTCAAAAGCTTCTGATGTGTTGTAGTCGCCTATAACAATTGATGTGTTTCTCCGCGAAGACCAAAGCCAAGCTAGAAGAACGTGCAAAGATACGAAGCTGGTTGCATTCCCAACAACAAATGGTGATTGCCCAACAGCTTTGAACATACAATTTTTGCCATGTCTTCAACAGTCTTCAGCTGTATATACAGGTTTCCCAAGAGCAATGATGACACCAATTCCAATGGTCAAGGCCTTTCGGCGACGAGCCTTCGGTTCAGCCTGCCCGGGGCTGTCCGATCGACTGGTACACAGCACGAACAGCAGTTGGCACTGCACAAAGCCTTGGGTGTTGGGTTTCATGAGCCGGCCGCATATGCAAGAATCTCGTGTACCAACAATCCAAGTCACCTCTTGATTCCTTGCAACAAGACCACTGAGCAGCATCATGTGTGTGTGAGTCAGGCATGCTTTCCATCCGCTTGCAAAACACCCTTGTCCACCTTGGCTTGTTTTCATTCTGGGAAGATTGGCCGTGTGCAAGATGAATCCATAAGACTCCACAAACTCTGCTCATTTTTTCAAACGTGCAGCCAGCCCATAGCAAGAGCTGCAAGCTCAGAGCCTGGGAAAAAGTGCACGCTGCGGACTGCGGAGGGATTGCAAACTGTGGACCATAGAGAAGTTTTTTTTTGATTTGGGTAGGACCTCAGGTTCATCCTCCGGAGGCTGTATGACAGTGTTCAATTGTCCATGATACTTCTTTGGAAGAGTCGTGTCGTTCCCAGCAATCTGTTTGTAACAGTTCGTATCTCCGAACAAGAGTGGAAAATGATGCTGTCTGGTGGGATGCTCGGCCTGGACAGGGAACAGCACACGCTCTAAAACTGTTCACCGGCATGGACATGGTCTACTAGCGGTGCTTCCAGACCTTTATTGGGTTGTATTGCGTTGACCTGCCAGTAGTTCCCACTGCACGTGAGTGAATCAAAAAATCAGCCCGATGCAAGGACTTTCACAAGGCTAGAGGCGCTTGAATCGAGCTGCAATATTAATTTGGAGAACTTGTTGGTTGGTCCCATAGTCCCAAACTTCTCAACTAACAATTCCACATTCCACCCCTGAAAACACCAGCGGATCAACAATTCCGCCTGAACTTAGTCGTCCAACATGCGAAACGCGCAACATCGAGCGCCAGTAAGTTAGTGTGCGGTGTCGAATATCATCACAATCTGATGCATGTGTTTCTCTGTTTGGGATCCATTGGCGCTAGGGGTTCGCACAAAGCCTCAATCATGTTATTAGACAAAACCAAATTGTGGCTTACGGTCCCCAGTGCGGCTTTTGCAGTTCAAAGCCCGCATTCAAATGTTCCTTGGTCTACTGCATTCAAGGCAGCTGCTTTCGGCCTGTGGGCTCACTTGGAGCAAAAAAGCCCTGATGCAGTTTCTGAGGTTGAAATCATTTGGGAAGTTGAGGGGTGAACTTCTGTTGGCTTCTTTCAAAAGGGGGCTGAGTAGTGAGACCCACCTGCAGTACAGCCGTCGCGGCTGCCCACTTCCAAAAGCCTTTACCCTGGAAGACAAAGACCATCAAAAGAATGAGAGAAATGCGGACTCCTTCTCTTTCTCTTTGCACCCCTATTTGGTCTATCCCAGGCTATTGGACTGTGTAAGGATTAAATTGACATTTGTTCCAAGGAAATAGTCGCATTGGGGTATCCCCAAAAAACAGAGTGCCAGCACACAAGGTGCGACTGCCTCAACAAGAGTGCTGAGCCAACTAAGCACCACGAACAGTTTGTGAAATGGTCCGATTTCTGCACTTCAAAGCCATGAACTGATTCATTCCCCCAAATTCTCTCAACCACCGAAATAAAATGACTGGTGGACCTATTTGATAGCGCGTTTTCTTTTTTGGGGGGTAGGCCGCTAGGAGGTAGGTAGCTAGTAGGGAGAGGTAGCTAGTAGTAGCTAGGTAGGGCGCAGGATAGCTCACGCTTCAAGGAAGCCTCGCACAATTCATTTGGTCCCTAGATATTTAGGGAAACTTGATAGCTGCGACTCCAGGATTGGCTGGTTGTTGGTTTTGCTGAGAAGCGACCGTCCGCACATGATTCCAACTCATTGTGATCTCTGGCTTCACCCAACGTTGATTCTGAAGCTCTTTTCCTGTTGCACCTGAACCCCACAACAGCTGGCAAGATTCTCTAGGGCTCCTCACACAAGGGCCCTTTGGTATAACTGGACGAAGTGCATCTGGAGCGCCCAAACACACTCCTGTCGCAGTTCTTCGACCGTAGTGGGACGCATGGACGATGAAGGTGTAACAGTGAGATCCAAAGAGATGTTCCACACGCCTCTCAGCATGCCCGTGATCTCTAGCAGACCCCAACGAATAAAGTAAATCAAACTATGTCAAACTGCTCACCGTCCTACTTCTTGGTCAAAGCTGCTTGTGCAGTTTTCTCACTCAACTACCCTTCAGTGCCATCACCCAGCTCTATTATCTTGCAAGATGCGACCTCACCGCTACGCCATCATCTCACTTCTTAGCCATTCTTGTCTTTGAAAACAAATCAAGGAGACCTTAGGAAATAGCCAGCGAAAACTCAACATTGAATCAACGTAATCCGACATGCCCCCGTTATTATTCAGTCTCCAGCATCAGTGGCTGTCCAAGCAATGGCTTCTGAATCGGCCAAGACACATATCTTTGAAGATCGAGCTTTGCCGAGTGAAGCCCGGAGCTTTGGCCGAGGTGTCTCTGTCATCCAAGCTGTGATCCAGATGCTTCAGGTCCCGCTCACTAAAAATGCATGGAATCAAGTAACGCCTGGCGACGTGCTTCGGGTACTTCTTGGGTTCTGCAACTAGGCTTGGGAATTGAGGAGTTTGTCAGCGCTTCATGAAGACTGACAAAATGGGGCTGTAAGTGACAGAAGGTGGCTGGCAGTTCTTTTGGCCTGCTGCTAGTGAAAATCCCAAAGACCTACAACATCTCTTCAGGTTGTGTCACCCGTGCGTCCACATGCCTGAAGGGAGCAAGGCTGATGAAGAAGAGAGGAAAGTAAAGGCCAAAATAGTAGTTCACCATCCTGAGCATGTGCTACTTGTGGGAAAAAGGCCCTGTCAATCTGTTGTCCGCAACAAAAATGCTGTGATTGCGGGTGCGGGGTGTCGCTTCAAAACATTCCCACCACAACAGCAGAAACATTGGTCATCTGCACATCCAAGTCATCCAACATGCCACCACCAGGGCAATCTGGATCAGCGAGAAGATCTGGATGGTCCCCAGAGACACCGATTGAAACACAGACCTCTTCGGCACGAAACGGGGATCTGTCAGCATCAGCAAGCACCGCTCATACCTGATCAAGCCAGGAATGGATTCATTATATCACTCCTTGAATGGTGATCAGATCAGTGCATGGTTCAATTAGGCCCCATCCATAGCACAGTTGCAAAATGGTCCATCCATTCACATTGGATCGTTTATGATGGGGCCTCTTGTTCCAGAATCAGAAAGCGAGCCTTTTCCAACTATCAACGAACCCAGCAATGCCGGGCAACCATGGAAGCGGCTGCTGCTATACTAGAATCTAGACAGGTTGATTTGGTTCCTCCAAGCAAACATCTCGTCGGAGAAAGTAGGATAGAACTTGATGTCCTTGAATTTTCATATGGCCTCGCATCTTGCAAGGCGAGATGCAGTTGGGTACTTTGAATGCCATCAATTCCAACAAAGATCAATGTGCCAAAGACCGCAGCTTTCGGCACTGATTGCAGGAGCGTGGGCATCAATAAGGGCAGTCCAATGAGGAAGTAACCTTCAACAACCCTTCAACACTGAGAACACAAGGACCAAGGAGTCAGCGACTTAGCTCAGGTATCTTTATCATTCTTTATCTTTCTCTTTTTAAACTGTACAGTCGAAGTGGAGGTGGAATCCACTCGTGAACACGCCACAGAAAGAGTTTATGCAAGGAAAACGTAGGCATCTGTATGTTTCTATAGATGATAGTTGTTTTTGGCCATGTGATCTGTGATGTTTCGGAATGCGACAAACAAGGCATTTCGATGATTTGAAGCTGGCAAGGGACAAAGAAGTGGTGCCAGGCGGTTCTCCCTCACATGTGTAATCTGCTGCTCCTCGTCTCGCTCGGCCAAGGAGAGGACGAACTGCGGTGAATGTGGCAGCGATCCCGTCACAAACGGCAGGCCAAACATGGGACCGAAGATGTTGAAGGCAGCCAAGCAAGCAAATGAAGAGTGGAAGTAGCCTGTGGCTTGGTCCATGCTAAACAGCAAGTAATGAAGTAATGGCAAAATGTAACACTGTCTTCATGGGTTCAAGACATTGCATGGAATAGCATTTCTGAGATTACTGCAACAGCCTGATCACATGGACACAAACAACAATGCTCTGCAGCTCAGCCAGGCAGCTGCCCTTCGCAAGTTTCATCTCCGGCTTTTGGCAAAGGCTGCTTGAGATATTTTGGTCCTGAATATTTCTGGTGAAGCAGCATGCATGGCAATCTGCAAATCCAAGAGATAAGTTGACAAGACAAGCCTCACAAAAAGAACAAAGGGGGGACCGGAAATGGTGCAGGGGAAAGTCAGTCCAGGTAGAAAAACACCACCACGGGAAAGGCTGCCACTGCAGCACAGCCAATACCCTTCACAGAGATGGCGGTCAGATCGATGCGCCAGGCACGCGAACTGGTTGTATTGAAGCCGCTGCTCTCAGTGTCAATGAAGGTCACAGGGAAGAGATGTTGATTCCTCAGCCCAGCCCAGCTCTGTGATCGAGAGGAAAAAGGAGGGGGTCACCGGGGCTTCACAAGTCGGATGCTTTCAAAGGAAGTCGAACCTTGATACATCTCTTGAATGGAAACGGTAGTATGTAAATGCCATCCACAAATAATCTTTGCAAGCCAACCAGGGTTCAAATGCCTTGCGATGAGGATTGACACGAAGAGCGTGATTGTCAGAGCATAGTCCCTCCTCAGTGATCAAGTGTGCAAAAGGAAGGCTAATGATTGAGAAAAAATGGCGACATGGCCTCACAGCATGCACGAACCTTGCTCCAAATCAATGCTTTCTGAAGAGACTATTGGTGGCTGGATCACAAGCAATATCACACAGTCCCTGATGTCCACAATGTCTGCCAAGTCCTTCGGTCCGGGCATCAGAAAGCTGCGGGCACGGAAGCTGAAGAGCCTGGAGGACTGCAAGGCTGTAAACCACAAGGTCAACGCCGTAAAGCCGATCGTCATGTTCCTCAAGGAAGGGAGGAAGCGGAGAAACTCAACTCACAAACGCTGGGAAGAAAGGCATACATTTACCAGCCTGAAAAGGGTGTTGGTGGCAGAATACAGTGGATTCGGATCCAAGTTTGTAGTCCAGAAAGGGTGCCACTGGCACCCGAAGTGAACTGCGGTGGAATCAATCTTGTCAGGATCCCAAGCAAATCTAGGTCGATGGGTTCGGGGCAAACAGGTTGGTTTCCAATGCTGGTTGTACTCTTCAACGACCAAAGTTCGCTAAGTCCAAGTCTCAAGGTCAACAGTTTGGATGCTGCATCTTGGCTTCCATACTGTTCGGCATGGCCAGGGGATGTACCTGAATCTTCCCACAAGCGCACCATGCCTTGGATGCCATCGTTGATGTAGACGATCCCAATGAAGGTGGCGAAAATGTTTTCCTGAGACATCCAAAATGAGAGCTGTCAATGCCAAGTATACTCCGGCCAAGCATCGGTAAAGAGTGTCAAGTACTTCACATATTTGGAGAGCTCCAAAGCCGAGATTAGAAACATCCTGAGCAGACAAAGGCCATTGAACAAAACACAACAATACAGTAGAATGCAACACACACACACACCACAAAAAATGGCTTCGGATTGGCCCACTGATGTTAGGCAAGCCAAGTTGGTCAGCTGTCTGATCATCCCATCGGCTAGAATAACATTCAGAGGAGTTTCAAAAGCCCCACAAAGATGCCGGTCCAGGCAAAGAAGGGCCAAAAAGGCAAACTTTGCGCTGTTGCAAAGTCCAAGAGTTTCTCGAAAAGCAAAGTAATAGGACCGGTGGGTCGAAGTACCAACCTGGGTTATTTGGAAAGCACAAGGCAACGCAGCAAAGCGGCAAAGCCTCGCTATGACTTGCATGTCTGCATCACCACATCTTTGTCTTGTTTCAAGAGCAAGGGTTCATTCAGCGCTGAAGCGAGATGAAACGAGTACCACCCTTGCAGAGTTGAGGGCAGCCACCCTATAAGACGAGCAACAAGGGCTGACAGCCGATGATGGCATGAATCATGCCAGCCGCACTGTTCATCATCAGATACTCATTCAAACCAATTAGCCCATTCCTCGGCTGCAAAGGGTTGGGAAAGCTCTGAGCTAGCCGCAGCTAACCTCACCACCAAGAAGTTTCGCTGGCTCAAACAGTTTGGTTCAACGTTGGCTAGATGTTGCTCAGCTTGTATGTTTTGGGAAGAGTCTCAGAAAATGCCGTGGTAGTAGGTGGTTCAGGTATATAGGTGAATGAGCCTGGATTGACCCAAAGCTTACATTCGCCGCTGGGATAGGCCTTGCCGGTCAACATACATTTAAAGCAACATGCTGACCCCTGACTGTCCTGTCTTTTTTTCCCCTATCCTTCGAGTGTCGTGGACTCCTTGATATGTTCGCCCAAGGCCAAAGTAGAGGTGAAGGTTGCGAAGAACATAAACAAAGCCGCGGAGACCTTGGATGCCACTTATGTCATCCAGATTAAATGCCAGGCATAGGGTATTTGAGGTTTAGCAAGATTCTTCGGGCAATTATCTATTTATATATATATATATTATATATATACACACACAAATACAATGTATATGTGCTATCCCCTCCAAAAACTATCCAACAATGCTTTGTTGAGTGCGGGAAATTACATCCTGCAAGATTAACAGTGAGTGAATCCCTTAAAATGCACTTCCCCTCGAAAACCTATGTTTGGAGAGCTGGAATAAATGATACACAGGATCTCTCTCGTACACTTGTGCCAATCTTCTTCATGAAAGAGATGTTCTACCATTTCGTAAGCCTTCTATAGTCATGCATTTCATGCTACAGTATGTTGGCTTGAAGGCTTCAATGCTGCTTAAGATGATTCTTCCCTTCATCATCAAGGTTTCCTCTTTGTTTTATGCCTCCATACCTTAAGGTGTCCTTTTTCATAATTACAAGAGGCCCTTTAGATATCTTTACTGTTCACTTCACAGCAAGTCATTAGGTGACCACGAATGATGGTCCTGCAAATCACGAGACTGTCTTGGCTGTAAAGGCATCTGTGATCCAATCCGATTCCAGGAATTTGGATCTACGCCGGTAGTCGTTCATCAGGCCACCGCAGAAGCCGCCAATTTCCTGTCTGCCGTAGGGGTGGAAGATAGTGGAAGGGTCCTAGGAGTCCTGGGAGTGAGTGCGACCTTTCAATATCTCTCAGGTCGTAGTTCACCAGTGTTAGACACTGCTGCACAAGCAAAATCGACCAACATCTCCTCCAAACCAGCCATGTTTGCGGCTTTGCGTCGCACTACCTTTCCAGCTTCCTCATCTGACCTGCAAAACTTGAGTGGTCTTGTGTATGGCCTCCAACCTAATAGCGATGGCCTCCAACCTACCTCCAACCTACTAGCGATGGCCTCCAACCCACTAGCGATGGCCACCAACCTGCTAGCGATGGCCTCCAACCTACTAGCGATGGCCTCCAACCTACTAGCGATGGCCTCCAACCTAATAGCAAAGGCCTCCAACCTGTTAGCGTTGGCCTCCAACCTAATAGCAAAGGCCTCCAACCTACTAGCGATGGCCTCCAACCTACTAGGGATGGCCTCCAACCTACTAGCGATGGCCTTCAACCTACCAGCGATGGCCTCCAACCTAATACCTACCAGTGGCCTACCAGTGATGGCCTCCAACCTACTAGCGATGGCCTCCAACCTAATAGTGATGGCCTCCAACCCAATAACGATGGCCTCCAACCTAATAGCGATGGCCTCCAACCTACTAGCGATGGCCTCCAACCTACTAGCGATGGCCTCCAACCTAATATCCAGGGCCTCCAACCTAATAGCAGCTAAATAAAGGTCGAAAAAGTATTCTTTGTTTGTGGGAAATTGTTGCTGAATTGCCCAAATGCCCAAACATTGACAAAACATCTGTGTGTGTGTAACCCTTGGAGTCATAGGGATCCTGTTGGATTTGATG